CCCCCCTCCCACCCTCTGCCCTCCCTCCTTTTCCATCCCTCCCCATTTTTCTCCCGACAAAGTCCTGTTCCCGGTTCCTCCCCTAATCCATCAATTGCAAAAAAATAGTTTGATGCCAAATTTGTTTATCGTTATCTATTGATATTCTAAAATTGAAATAATTTAACAGTTTAAATGAATTGAACAAGTGCACCGGGAAAATGCTAATTTGAAATCTACAAAATGGCAATCCCTCTTAACCACCCTTTAAAAGGGTGGATCCTAACGGCTCTTTGAGAATAACTGGAATTTGAACCTTTTATGCCTTTTCTCCCTTCATCCAGTTAGTTTCCAGGTACACTGTACATATATATATTGTATGGGGTTCAACATCACTTTTCATACCGCCAAAAAAGGTTGTCGTGTTTTTTTTTATAGTGACATAAACCCCTCTGAAAGACTTTTGAAATATTTGATTTCTCCTATTAAATGGAAGGATCATACAATTTATTAATTATTAAGACGTGATAAGTAATAGAATTCTGGACTTATTAAATCCAAGCTGAAATCTTTAGCTGTGGTTCCTCAATACAGGTTCTATTAGATCTGGAACCCCAGTACAGATTTCATTTGTTTCTAGAACCTCAGTACAGGTTCCATTAGTTCTGGAATCCCAGTACAAGTTCCATTAGTTCTTGAACCCCAGTACAGGTTCTATTAGATCTGGAACCCCAGTACAAGTTCCATTAGTTCTTGAACCCCAGTACAGGTTCTATTAGATCTGGAACCCCAGTATAGGTTCCATCAGTTCTGGAACTCCAGTACATATTCCATTCCATTAGTTCTGGAACCCCAGTACAGGTTCCATTAGTTCTGGAACCCCAGTACAGGTTCTGTTAGATCTTTAACCCCAGTCCAGGTTCAATTAGTTCTGGAACCCCAGTACAGATTCCTATAGTTCTGGAACCCTAGTACAGGTTCCATTAGTTCTGGAACCCCAGTACAGGTTCTATTAGATCTGGAACCCCAGTATACAGGTTCCATTAGTTCTGGAACTCCAGTACAGATTTTATTAGTTCTGAAATCCCAGTACCGGTTTTATTAGTTCTGGAACCCCAGTACAGGTTCCATTAGTTCTAGAACCTCAATACAAGTTCTATTAGTTCTGGAACTCCAGTACAGGTTCCATTAGTTTAAGAACCCCAGTACAGGTTCCATTAGTTCTAGAACCCCAGTACAGGTTCTATTAGTTCTGGAACCACAATACAGGTTCCATTAGTTCTGGAACCCCAGTACAGGTTCCATTAGTTCTGGAACCTCTAATGCAGTTTCCTTTAGTTCTGGAACCTCTGGTATAGTTTCTTTAGTTCTTGAACCTGTAGTACAGGTTCCTTTAGTTCTGAAACCTCTAGTACAGGTTCCTTTAGTTCTGTAACCTCTAGTACAGTTTCCTTTAGTTCTGGAACCTCTGGTACAGTTGCTTTAGTTCTTGAACCTGTAGTACAGGTTCCTTTAGTTCTGAAACCTCTAGTACAGGTTCCTTTAGTTCTGTAACCTCTAGTACAGTTTCTTTTAGTTCTGTAACCTCTAGTACAGGTTCCTTCAGTTCAGGAACCTGTAGTACAGGTTATTTTAGTTCTGAAACCTATAGTACAGGTTCCTTTAGTTCTGTAACCTCTAGTACAGGTTCCGTTAGATCTGTAACCTCTAGTACAGGTTCCTTCAGTTCGGAAACCTCTAGTACAGGTTATTTTAGTTCTGAAACCTGTAGTACAGGTTCCTCTCCAACAGGTTCCAATGGTGTTTAATCTTCTACAGAACGTCCCTCTCTAATTCTCAAATTATAACTTCTAGTTCGTGTTTAACTGAATTCTTTTCTTGTGAATTAGGTTCTTGAGGCAGTAGAACCTCTATAACTGAATTCTTTTCTTGTGAATTAGGTTCTTGAGGCAGTAGAACCTCTATTATAGGTTGCCAAGAAGTATTTTTCAAAGCACAGAAATAAAGCAAAAGAGTAAAAAGCATTAAAAAAGGAAGATATATTTGTTTTCATATATAAACATAAATAATAGAATGATTTACAAAATTTTGTGAATTTGTTTCATGTTTGCGCGAAGATATCTTTGTACATAGGGTTGATGCCTTTGAAAAATTAAGGTGCAATTATAGACTGCAATTAAGAACGAGGGATGGAGCCTGGGAGATGAGGGGAGGGGGGGGATTTAATTGTCCGTACTGTTAAAATAATATCCCCCATTCCAATTTTCACTAATTTAGTAGCGATTTCGGTTAAGTTATACGCTACTCCAATTTAGAATTGTCATATTTACAATAAAATTAGTTCCGTATATACTATGATTTAGCGTATATACATGATTATCTGGTACTTGGTACATAAACAATATCTGAAAGCCTGGACCTGTACCTTGAAGGTACAGAGGTCATACTAGCGGGCAGGTCAGCATAAGAGTTTCCATACCTACAATTATATATAGAGATTAATCACAACAGTCTTTACACTCTACATTAATCATTAAAGTATTTAAAATATTTAAAGAATTTTAGAAAAGCTGAAAAGTATTCCCTTGAAGTTAAGATTCTGATAATCCCAGGCTTTCCTTTTATCTATTTAAAATTATAAAAGCATTCGCATAAAGCACTAAAATCAAGTAAGTAAGTAAGAATTTAGAAGTCTTCTGTTCTAAATAAAGAATTCAAATTAAATTTAAAAACTCCCAAGAAAAGACAAAAGGCTATCCCTGATCCCTAATATCCCAAACTAAACACGTCCCCCGTCTTCTATTATTATTTTTCTAAACTCTAAACCTAGAGATTGGCATTGCTTTGTTTTTTTTTTACTCTGACCAAAGATATCAACCAAATCGATTTGTAAAAATTTTTTCGATAAAAAGTTTTGGAGAATACTTTTGTTCAGAGAAAACAACTTTTCATAACAATGATAAAACCAAACATATAGAAAATAAGATTTTACTGCATGATAACATTTTAGATAAAACCAAGCATATAGAAAATAAGATTTTACTTTATGATAACATTTCAGATAAAGCAAAGCATATAGAAAATAAGATTTTACTTCATGATAACATTTGAGATAAAACAAAGCATATAGAAAATAAGATTCTACTGCATGATAACATTTTAGATAAAACCAAACATATAGAAAATAAGATTTTACTGCATGATAACATTTCAGATAAAACAAAGCATATAGAAAATAAGTTTTTAGTGCATAATAACATTTCAGATACAACAAAGCATATAGAAAATAAGATTTTAGTGCATAATAAAATTTCAGATAAAGCAAAACATACGGAAAATAAGATTTTACTGCATGATAACATTTTAGATAAAACAAAACATACGGAAAATAAGATAGAAGATTCTTTAAGTGCCATTCAAAGTAAAAAATCTTATTATTTATATTAACGAATTTCAAACCGATGCCCGTCATTAAGAACTCTAGAGATAATAGTTGATTAAATGAACCGCGGCAAGATTCTGAATCATGAGACACAAATAGTTCAGCTTGTGCAAGCATAAAGTATTTAAGCTTTCTAGACCTGGGTCTGCTTGTTTACAAACAATATAACTTTATAAATTAATATCTCTTCAAACACCTTACGTTTCCTGTTCATCAGTATATTTTAGACATTTCCTTTCATACTTTCCAACTTTTAATGCTTTTAACCTGATATACTTTCTAACTTCTAGTACTTTCAACCTGGCATACTTTCTAACTTCTAGTACTTTCAACCTGGCATACTTTCTAACTATTAGTACTTTCAACCTGAAATACTTTCCAACTTTTAGTGCTTTTAACCTGATATACTTTCTAACTTCTAGTACTTTCAACCTGGCATACTTTCTAACTTCTAGTACTTTCAACCTGACATACTTTCTAACTATTAGTACTTTCAACCTTACATACTTTTTAACTTCTAGTACTTTCAACCAGACATACTTTCTAACTTCTAATACTTTCAATCTGACATACTTTCTAACTTCTAGTACTTTTAAAATGTTATACTTTCCAACTTTTAGGGCTTTCAACCTGATATACTTTCCAACTTCTAGTACTTTCAACCTGATATACTTTCCATCTTTAAGTACTTTCGACCTGACATACTTTCTAATTTCTAATACTTTCAACCTGACATACTTTTTCTTTCTTAATATTTTCAACCTGACATACTTTCTAAATTCTAGTACTTTCAACCTGACATACTTTCTAACGTCTATTACTTTCAACCTGACATACTTTCTAACCTCTAGTACTTTCAACCTGATATACTTTCTATCTTCTAGTACTTTCAACCTGTTATACTTTCCAACTTCTAGTTCTTTCAACCTGATATACTTTCTAACTTCTAGTACTTTCAACCTGATATACTTTCCATCTTCAAGTACTTTCTACCTGACATACTTTCTAATTTCTAATACTTTCAACCTGACATACTTTTTCTTTCTTAATATTTTCAACCTGACATACTTTCTAAATTCTAGTACTTGGAATCTGACATACTTTCTAAATTCTAGTACTTTCAACCTGACATACTTTCTAAATTCTAGTACTTTCAACCTGACATACTTTCTAAATTCTAGTACTTTCAACCTGTTATACGTTCAAACTTCTAGTACTTGCAATTTGACATACTTTCTAAATTCTAGTACTTTCAACCTGTTATACTTTCTAACTTCTATTACTTTCAATCTGATATACTTTCTAATTTCTAATACTTTTAACCTGACATACTTTCCATCTTCAAGTACTTTCAACCTGACATTCTTTCCAACTTCTGGTACTTTCAATCTGTTATACTTTCAAACTTCTAATACTTTCAATCTGACATACTTTCTAACTTCTAGTACTTTTAACCTAATACTTTCAAACTTTTAGTACTTTCAACCTGTTATACTTTCCAACTTCTAGTACTTTTAACCTGATATACTTTCCATCTTTTATTACTTTCAACATATTATACTTTCTACTTCTTCTAATTTCAACATGGCATATTTTTTAAATTCTAGTACTTACAATCTGACATTCTTTCCAACTTTCAACCTAATACTTTCCAACTACTCCTTATGTACGCAACAGATAAAATAAAATTATTATCACTACACCTGTAATATCGAAATCCTGGACTATCAGCATTAACCATATATCTTCCTAGAACTGCATTATAGCTTGAACTTCTCTCCCTGTAGGTTTCTGGATACCTGGATAAATACCAATTGAAAAAGGTTTTGAACAATTAAAAACCTAGAACCGAACCTAACCTACGACCTAAACCTTGAACTAGGCCTAATATGTAATTAAACCTAAACATTGACCTCGAATGGATTTAAAATTTGATCCTAATATTGACCTAGACCTGATATAAAATTCTACCTAAACCTAGAGCTACTCCTAATTTAGACCTCTAATTAAATCTAGACCAAGATTTAATTTAGAACTCCAATTAAACATAAACCTTAACCTAATGCTTTCAAACCTAAAGCAATAATTTACGTAGAACTAAACCTAGACCTAGAAGTTTAGAACTAATGTAAATTTCGACCATAACCTTACCTAAACTCGCTAAGCTGAATATAGACCTAATGTTGACCTAAAAGAATACAGTTAGTTAGATCAGATGTTGAATTCGACCTAAAACTAGACCTGGACCTAGACCATAATCTGCCTTCGACATTCGACATAGATGGTAAAAAACAGAATGTTTTAAGTTTGTATTTTTAGGTTATTCCTTCACAAGTTTACTTACATAGTTTTGTACTTTGATGCATGCAGTTTCTCTTTAACTCTTTCAGTAAACTCTTTATTCATTCTATTAATAGTTTCCGGGACAGGACTGGGAGTGTGTCGGGTAGATAATATCTCACGGCTGTATTCAGTCGAACTCCTGATAAATTAATTATATTTAGCTGGATTTATCATATTTCTTCTATAAAAAATACAGAATTATAAGAAATCATCTCGTCTGAAAATATGCAACTGCGTTTAGCGCAAGTAGAAGGCACAGGTTGACAGAGCAAGGAGGACGCATAGTCAGATAGCCCAAGTAGGACGTACATGTAGATCGAGCAAGTAGGAAGCATAGTCAGATAGCTAAAGTAGAACGTACATGTAGATCGAGCAAGTAGGAAGCATAGTCAGGTAGTGAAAGTAGGACGTACATGTAGATCGAGCAAGTAGGAAGCATAGTCAGATAGTGCAAGTAGGACGTACATGTAGATCGAGCAAGTAGGAAGCATAATCAGATAGCGCAAGTAGGACGTACACATAGATCGAGCAAGTAAATAGCAAGAAAATATTATTATCATATAGTGCATGAGAATGACGTAAGTGCAAAAAGTAGCATACACATTACAATGGGGCGCAAAGATAGAATGCAAAGATAACCCCGTAGAACCACCTGTCACACAAATCTAAAAAAAAGGAAACCTAGGAAAGAAGTGTCCAGGAGATGCTCCTCTACCCCCCTCCAACATATCTCTGTATCTAGGATTCATCCATTCATCCCTCCGACTCATCCGTTCACGAGCCTTGAAAAAGCTGAGATTAAAATTACAACTAATCATGGATCTATAGTGTCTAAATTTACCAGAAAAAAATGATTTAATGGGTCAGAGTCGATGATGTTTCGATCAGTCCATGTCTAGATTCTTTCAAGCCTTAGAAAAAATTTTGCTTCTATCTCAAGAATTGGTTTTAAACATGTCATCATGTGACTTAAAGAAGAAAAAACAGAAATTAACCTTAAAATGTAATCATTCTCTTTACATCCTTAATAATTTAAAAATGTTACATACCATTGTTCTAGCTCTATTATGCCGATTAACCGTAATACTGGAGAGAACCAAATCCCCTTCATCATCATATACATCATAGTGGGTAGGGGGTACAGAGTTCAACCTATAGATAAACATATCATAGTGGGTAGGAGGTACAGACTCAACCTGTAGATAAATTTATCATAGTGGGTAGGGGGTACATAGTTCAACCTATAGATAAACATATCATAGTGGGTAGGAGGTACAGAGTTTAACCTATAGATAAACATATCATAGTGGGTAGGGGGGTACAGAGTTCAACCTATAGATAAACATATCATAGTGGGTAGGGGGGTACAGAGTTTAATCTATAGATAAACACATCATAGTAGGTAGGGGGTACAAAGTTTAAGTATTCAGTACTGTACCTGGCAGTGGCTTGCAAGATGAACGGTTAGTGTACAGTGTACACTGTACAGCATACATGTATGCAGTTTGTACTTTACCTGGCAGTGGCAGGGTAGGTAGACGGTGTGCTGTACAGTGAACAGCACACAGTCTGTACTGTACCTGGCAGTGGCAGGGTAGGTAGAGGGTGTACTGTACAGTGAACAGCACACAGTCTGTACTGTACCTAGCAGTGGCTGGGTAGAAAGAGGAAGACCCTCTGTACTGTACCTGGCAGTGGCTGGGTAGAAAGAGGAAGACCCTCTGTACTGTACCTGGCAGTGGCTGGGTAGAAAGAGGAAGACCCTCTGTACTCTCTTTGAGACATTTTCCTTTAAGGAATAGAACCTTTCAAAGTAATTTATTTTCGTAAATAAAAAAAATTAAAAAATTGAATAAATTTCTTGTTTTGCTCCAATTCTACCGTGAATAGGACATTTTTTTTCTTTATTTTCCGCAAATTCCTCTAAGTTGTTTCATCTCTAAGAAACAGTTTAGCAACAAGATTGCGAGAATATTTTTGTGAATTTAAAATTACGAAGATAGATTATTAACGCTAAAATTCACAAAAAGGTCACTGTATAATATTTTAGATTAATATACGTCGACTATGTTTTATTAAATTTGCTTTGTAAAAACTAACTATTTTGAAATGTTTTGATAATACTGTTTCCAGGTGAACTCCGGTCAGAGCAAAGGCTGATATAAGACTAGGCTCTAGTAGACAGCGTAAACTCTACCTTTATCTGGTGACCTAACCCTGAAAGGGCAAATGCAAAGATATCTACAATCTACAAATATGTTTACATTAGAACTATATATTTATGTAGACCGGCTAAATATGCAATTCATATTTTAATCTTTAAAAATAAGACAGAAAATAATTTTTCATTTCAAAGAAACAGAATGCTAATTTGTTTAGTAAAGTTTACTATTGTTGCTAAACTACATGAAAGTTTAAAAGCGGGTTAAATAATTCTCATCTAATTAGATAGAAGGAGAACTGGTATAAACAACGTTAATTCAAAGTCTCAGGACAGAGGTTTCTCAGTAAAATAATTCAGGGATGAAATGAAACTTGAAACTATTTTTCCTTATTCTAAAGTTTTAAAATTCTAAATTCCTGAGAATGAGAATTTAAAAATCCGTGTCTAGACTTGATGTTCAAGTATTATGATTTATAAATCGAAGCCAAAAAAAGAAAACCCAATAAAATGTTTAAGAAATTTAAATTCAAAGCCAAAACGTTTTCCTCATTCTTAACAAAACTTAAAAAATGTTATGCACTCAAGAATGTTTTTTTGGAGATAATGGGAAAAGACTTTTAATATTAAAGGTATTTTTATACATTAAAACCTTTTCATAGAAAAGCAGAACAGCGATAATTATCTACGCCATTTAAATATTTATTCTTTTATCTTTAAATCTAATCTTCAAAACTCATGAACCAACTGTTTATATTTTTTTGAAATTTTTAAAAAAGTTAAAAACTGTTTTAAAATGTACATGTATTTTAAAAACATATCATTTTGTGTTTTGTTCCGGTATGCTCCTTCCTTGTCAAATAAATGACCCGGAGTGTTTATCTCAAATTAAAATATTTTCTTGAAAAATGTTGCGCAAGAAAATTAAAAGGCAGATTATTCTACCTCGGGGTAAAACAACGTTTATATAAGAGGAGAAGTTAAAGGAAGGAGGTAAAGGAGTTAAAGGAAGGGGGTAGAGGAGGAAGGGAAAAAGGAGAAAAAAGGAAGAAAAGTAAAGAACGGGGAAAAGGAAGGAGGAAAAGAAGAAGGAAGGAGGAAACATGAGGAAAAGATAGTAAGGAAAAGAACGAGGAAAATAAGAAGGAAACGGAACGAAGGAAGGACGAAAAAGAACTAAGAAAAGAAAGAAGTAAAACTAAGAAGGAAAAGGAAACAGAAAAAGAATGAGGAAAAGGAACAATTAAAAATGTTGGATAAAGAATAAGCGAGAGAATATAGGACCAGGAAGACAGGAGAGTAGGAGAGTAGAGGGAATATAGGATCAAGAAGACAGGAGAGTAGGAGAGTAGAGAGAATATAGGATCAGGAAGACAGGAGAGTAGGAGAGTAGAGAGAATATATGATCAGGAAGACAGGAGAGTAGGAGAGTAGAGGGAATAGAGGATCAGGAAGACAGGAGAGTAGGAGAGTAGAGAGAATATAGGATCAGGAAGACAGGAGAGTAGGAGAGTAGAGGGAATATAGGATCAGGAAGACAGGAGAGTAGGGGAGTAGAGAGAATATAGGATCAGGAAGGCAGGAGAGCAGGAGAGTAGAGAGAATATAGGATCAGGAAGACAGGAGAGTAGGAGAGTAGAGAGAATATAGGATCAGGAAGACAGGAGAGTAGGAGAGTAGAGAGAATATAGGATCAGGAAGACAGGAGAGTAGGAGAGTAGAGAGAATATAGGATCAGGAAGACAAGAGAGTAGAAGAGTAGAGAGAGTATAGGATCAGGAAGACAAGAGAGTAGAAGAGTAGAGGAAATAGAAGATTAGTTAATTGGGAATTAAGAAAGATCAAGAATTATTAAAAATAACACAATCCCCTCTCCTCTGGTTAAAATTGAAAATAATGATTTAAGTTTTTTTCCCTTTTTCCGAGATTTTTAAATTCATGAAACCATTTATATTCTCCAGTCCAGCTGTAAACCTCTGAGATCATTATTAAATATGCAGGACGTAACGGGGGATTAATTTATAGATTGGTAATTAAGGAAGGGATTCCCAAAAATGAATTAGAATGTTAGGAGAGAAAGAAAGAATAAGGAATTAATAGAAGTGCGGAGAAAGGAAAGATATGGATAAATATATTACAAGATTTAAACTCTGAACAAGGTTCTCACCCCATCTTTATCCATCCCAAGCTATCTTTTGGTATGAAATGTTTGATGAAAAACGTTTAATACTCAGTGGTGGATGCTGGGCGCTGCCTGAGCTTATCAATCTTTATACTGCTGCTTATTTCTGCTAGGATGGGGGGGGGGGGTGGCTGGTTCATATTTAGATTTATTTCCGAACATTTCTCTAAGATATCTAAATATATCTATCTATACATGCATAGATAACAATTTCTCGTCCGAGCCACCTCGGAATCCTCGTCTTTCGATTATTATGTGTTTAAAAGTTTCCAATTCTCGAAGATAGTTTTAAATAATCTGGCGACGTTAGGACATACAATATGGATGGAATTGTCATAATGAAACAAAACATTTGTTATTCTTTTAATTTTAAGAATTGTGATTTTTTATTATGTATTATAGAGTCATTGTTCATCTTTGGTTGTTATCTCAGTCCTAGTGAGATTAAGAATATAGATCCAGAATTCATGGGAGGAGACAAATTGATCTAAAGAGTCTAGGACGGATTCCCAGCATGTATCCAAACCATCAATATACACTATACAGATATCATCTCCAGCCTTCCCTTCCGATCCTTCTCAATACTTCCCATCGTACCCATCCTACACATCCTACCCATCCTACTCATCCTACCCTTCCTCCCATTCTACCCATCCTACCCGTCCTACCCATCCTATCCATCCTACCCATCCTACCCATCCTACCCATCCTACCCATCCTACACATCCTACCCAACCTACCCATCCTACCCATCCTACCCATCCTACCCATCCTACCCATCTTACTCATCCTATCCATCCTATCCCATCCTACGCATGCCACTAATACTACCCATTCTACTCATGCGACTCATCCTACCCAGTCTACCCATCCATCCCGTCCTACCCATCCCAACCATCCTACCCTTCCTACCCATCCTACCCATCCTACCCAGTCTACCCATCTTACCCTGTCTACCCATCCATCCCGTCCTACCCATCCTACTCATCTTATTTATCCAACCCGTTAAAATCATCGCTATTCAAATCTCAATCAATGGTTTATAGGTCTACCTTCATCCTTTCCCAACTATCAAATAAATATATTAAATATTATAAAGTTCTCCTGAAACATTTTCTTAAATATGAGGATCCAAGATAACAAGAGTAAGATACAATGGATAATAAATGGTCAAATGTATTTCAAATTTTCGCCTAATCTTTCTAGTCCATAAGTCATGTTATCTTTAACCTAATCTCCTGAAGTAAGTCAGCAGTTTTTACATTAATTAGCGAGTTCTTACATATACAAAATAGTGTAGACGTGGTTAAAATTATAGGTTCAGTTAAATGAATAATTAGCTGAAAATTCAAGTAACATTATATATAAAACTATATAACTGAAAAATAATTAGTTACATGATACAAAATCTATATATCTAAAAAATAATCAGTTACATGATACAAAATCTATATAGCTAAAAAAAACAGTAAAATTGTTCACAAATTATAAAACTCAAAAATATACAGTAAGATGATACATAAAACTCTTTTTTGGAAAATATACAGTAATTTGATACAGAAATCTATTATCTGAAAAGTATATGTAACAGTAACATTATACAGAAATCTATATAATTTTATTCATTTTCATCTTTAATTTTGATTCTATATGTCGATCTCACTTTTATGCCACATTTATAATTTTGTTTCCCTTCCTTTTCTCAATATCTATCTGTGTTTGATATGATTTCTATCCATGTATAGACAATGATGATAGAGTAGAGATGAAATAGTAGAATAATAAGTTTAAGATTAAGCATAAACTGGATGGGATCCCACTGTTTAGTTTTACCTTGGGATATATAGATATATATTGGAGAAATTCTTCACACTAGACACTAAACACTAGACACTACACGCTAGACACTAGACACTAGACACTAGACACTAGACACTAGACACTAGACACTAGACACTAGACACTAGACACTAGACACTAGACACTAGACACTAGACACTAGACACTAGACACTAGACACTAGACACTAGACACTAGACACTAGACACTAGACACTAGACACTAGACACAAGACACTAGACACTAGACACTAGAATCAAAATTCTAAATGTACTCAGCCGATAAAAAAGTTAAAATATCTCTTTGTACAAGTTAAAAGTGCGGGAATGTTTGCATTTTCTAAAATTGTCATTTTGCCAAAAAATGCTATCAACAGAGTTCTAAACAGGGAACGCGAATTCCTGAATTTTATCTCGATATTTGATATTCTTTAATTTTTTACATGTTTCAAGTAAACTAGTTGGAATTATCAATTTTATTTTATTGCCGCTTTTATTGTTATTTTCAAATAATATTTAAATGACAAAATGGCTGAAGAAAGTGATAAAAAATAGGAACGGTATGTTAAAAAAATGAGGCATTAGGGATCAACATATGAGTATGACTACAAATATTCCGATAGAGATAGGAGTAGAGTAGAGTAAAGTAGAGTAGAGTAGAGTAGAGTAGAGTAGAGTAGAGTAGAGTAGAGTAGAGCAGCCAGCAGCTTCTTAAACTTTTTATTCTGTTTCCAATGGTTGACCAGTTCAACACAAACTCCATAGAATAGATATTAGTCAATGTAAATCAGAAAATATGGATGATTTGGTTAAAATTTGGACAGATAGTTGGTTTGATTGGATAGATGGATAGATATAAATTCGTATAGACGGATAGAAGGATAGATAGACTGCATATCTATTGGATCTAGCCCCTGCTCAATCAAATACTGTCACCACACCTTTATCTAGCATACATCTCTCCTTCTACCTTAGTTTTATCTATCTATCTTCTGGTATATTCTCTCTATCCTCTATATTCTCACTATCCTCTATATTATCTATCGATCCTCTTGTATATTTTCTCAATCCTCTCTATTCTCTCTATCCTCTATATTATCTATCTATCCAAGTATTTATCTATCTATCCAAGTATTTATCTATCTACCCAAGTATTTATCTATCTATCCAAGTATTTATCTATCTACCCAAGTATTTATCTATCTATCTAAGTATTTATCTATCTATCCAAGTATTTATCTATCTACCGAAGTATTTATCTATCTATCTAAGTATTTATCTATCTATCCCTGTACATTCTCTCTATCCTCTATATTATCTATCTATCTACCCTTGTATATTCTCTCTATCCTCTATATTATTTATCTATCTATCCCTGTATATTCTCTCTATCCTCTATATTATCTATCTATCTATCTATCTTTGTATTGCTTTATCTCAAATATTCAGAGAAACTATCATTTCATTTATGTTTCTATCTCATTTTATTTATGTTTCTATCTCATTTCAATATTTTTGTTTTTATTTTTATCTGTTTCTATCTGTCTTCTTCTGTTTCTAACCGCCTCTTGCTTCTCTATGTTTAATCTGTTTCTATCTGTTTCTATCTGCTTCCAAATGTGACTTTCTGTTTCCAAATATTTCTATCTGTTCCTATTTTTTTTTTTATCTGTGCCTATCCAATCCTTTCTGATTCTTTCTGTTTTCAATTGTTTCCATCTGTTTGTATCTGTTTCTTTCTGTTTCTATCTATTTCTATCTGTTTCTATCTGTTTTTCTCTGTTTCTTCTTTTCTTATCTGTTTCTATTTGGTTCTATCTGATACTATCTGTTTCTATCTGCATCCGTACACACTAAACCATGCAGGTGTATCTCCTTTCAGGATTATTACTTGACTAAATTTTTATATTTATTATGGGCAGGAATACTTTACAGAAACATCACTACATACATACATGCATACATATTTTACTATACTCATTCATTTTCATATTTGTTTATAATTCAAATTCAATTTTTTCAGCTGAATAATTAGATATTTATATCTTTTCTTCCAAAGAATCAGTTTTGTCAATTCCCACTATGTCAACTGGCTCCGATTTACTATAATGTACAGTAATTCATCCTAGTTGAGCACAAACTTAGATCTAGCAGAACTCTGAGTGTTTAGTTCCTATCTTCAGTAATCCACTTGAGCAGGGAATAAACCTCCAAACCAACCTTACTGCACACGGACCTTGGTTTCCGAGTTTTCTCATCAATATGATTGTAAATTATCTAAATCACTAAACTAAGTTGAAACACTATTAGTCTTTTAACAATCGTTCCTTATGAATTAGTGCAGATAAATAACTCGTCCTATAGTTCAACTGTATTGCCCTACCGTTCTCTCAATCTTAAAAACGCATGTAAATGAAAAAATACATATTAATAAAACAGGCGTGGATACAGGAGGGAGGTCAAGGGGTCAAAGACACCCCCCCTCCTTTGGAAAATAATGGGGTCCAGAGTATCTTAAGACCCCCTCTTTTCTGGATCAAGCATGCTGATATATGTAAAGTGTATGTTACTATTTCTGGATTTTAAGCATGCTGATATATGTAAAGTGTATGTTACTATTTCTGGATCAAGCATGCTGATATATGTAAAGTATATGCTACTATTTCTGGATCAAGCATGCTGATATATGTAAGTGTATATGTTACTATTATCGCATGAATTAGCATTGAAAAGCTGCGTCTATAAATAAAAGTCTGTAAAGATACCTCTTTAAGGGAGAGTTCGTAGAATCAAACCCTAAAACGTGTTCAACATATACGTACTTTGTATTTAATAGAAAAATATTTTAAAAAATAAGGATTTAACAAATGAATGAATTCTTCCGCTTCAGATAAAAATAGTTTTTATTTATTTCATTGCTTTAACATCATTTTTCCAAAGCTTATGGTACACCCTGCATCTATCTATCTAGATTTGCGAATGTATCGAAGGAAGATGGATGTTTTCATTAAGATTGTTCTTTGTACACACAGATTAAACTAAACATCTAATTTATATACTTTTTATACATGGGCGTAATAGAACTTTATAATAGTTCTTGTACATGAATAGAAATTTCCTCCCTCCTCCCCTTCCTAAACCTTCGCCCCCCCCCCCGGTCCCTTTTGATACCCTCCCACTTCATACACAGGGCACTCAAATCCCCTTCCTTTAAGACTTTATTTAAGATTTATTTTAAAGATTTAAAATTTCATTTAAGATTTGATTTAAAATTTGATCCAAGACTTGATTTAAGATTTGATTTAAATTTTGATTTATTATTTGATTTAAAATTTGGTTTCAAGATATGATTTAAAACTTGATTTAAGATTTGATTTAAGATTTGATTCAAAATTAGATTTAGATTTGAGTTAAAATTTGATTTGCTAGAATTTTGGTTTGATTGGATAGAGTGTATATGGCAGTGGGCACATTTTAACAGAGATCTTATTAAGATTTCTCAAGCAAGCAACATTGCAGTTTTCATCTGCAGACAAACTAGCAATACGGCATAGTTTTCTTTAGCTCCTTTTATTTTGCATTCATTAATTCATCAATTCTATTCATTAATTCATCAATTCCATTCATCAATTCTATTTATTAATTCATCAATTTTATTATTTAATTAATCAATTCCATTCAACAATTTATCAATTCCATTCATTAATTAATCAATTCCATTCAGTAATTAATCAATTTTATTCAGTAATTCATCAGTTCCATTAGTTAATTCATTAACTCGTCAATTCCATTCATTAATTCATCAATTCAATTCAATAGTTCATCAATTACATAATTAATTCAACAATTCTTTTATTAGTTCATGAATTCCATTCATTAATTCATCAATTCGATTCATTAAGTTCACAATTCCATTCATTAATTCATTAACTTATCAATTCCATTCATTAATTCATAAACTACATTCATTGATTCATCAATTCCATGCATTAGGTGAACAATTCCATTCATTAATTCATCAATTTCATGCATTAATTCATAAATTTCATTTATTAATTTATCAATTCCATTCATTAATTATCAACTCCATTCAATAATTAATCAATTTCATTTATTAATTTATCAACTCCATCCAATAATTCATTAATTCGTAAAATCCATTCATTAATTC